ACGGCCTCCAGAGCACCCCTCACGAGGCCCAGAGGGCCCCAGGGGCCCAAACGTGGAGCGAAAAGCTGGGGGTACCTTGGGCCAGGGGCACTCCTAGCAACACCCGATGAGTTGCGTCTCCCGGAACCCCTGGCTCTCGGAGATCCTCGATTGTGCAGGCCCGACGCTGTCGGACGCAAGTCCTGGGAGGTCAAAACTCGGATTTTGCCCTGGTCCGAGATCCGGCTCAGTCTGGCTCAATCCGGCTTCTTCCGGCTCAATCCTGGTCAGTCCGCGGCCTGATCTGGCGCAGCAGGCTCCCAGTGGGGCTTACACTCCTCTGTGCCGCCGACGAAGACCTCCCAGTAGCAGTTACCTCCCAAAATGTTGTCCCAGTCTCGGATTGACCCAAAAAGGGGGTTAAGCGACAAGGGGTGGTGCAATAGATTTGGTGCAATAGACTTGTGGGGTTGCCATACCTCTGGGGCGTGCAATACACTCCGGGGCGCTGATGTATAGCTGGACTCCCGCGTGCCGTACATCCGTTGCAACACAGTGCAATACGACCCTGCGGCGCAGCACGTTTGCAAGAGTCTTGCCCCAAACAAACATATTGCACCACCCCCTTGCAGCTGGACCCCCATTTTGGGTCACCCGAACAGGAGGAGGAGGAGAAGGAGGAGGAGGAGGAGGAGGAATAGGAGGAGGAGGAGGAGGAGGAGGAGGCCCGCCGTGGTGGCGTGCAGATGCCTTCTGCGCCCCTCCTCCCTCCGCCCGCGGTGGCGGCCCGGGGCACCTCGCGGGCGCGGGGCGCGCCCGCGCGGGCCTCCCGAGCGGCGCGCGCCCCGCGGGGCGCGGCGCGCCCCGCGCGGAGCCGCGCCGCCCGCGGCGAGGGGCAGCCGCGCGCGCGCGCGCGCGCGCGGCGCGGCGCGGCGCGGCGCGGCGCGGCGCGCGCGCTCTCGGGATCGGCCGCTGCCGCTGCCGCTCGGCATCGCTCAAACAGGGCTAGGATCGGGATAAGTCGCTCCAGAGCGTTCCGGAGCGCTCTCAGAGCGTTCCGGAACGCTCTGGAGCGGCCGCGGCGCCCAAGACACCCTCCAAACCCGCCGATTCTCAAAGATTTCGAGTTATCCCGATCCGATTTGCCCCGATCTTCGCGTCGTTTTAATCGCTCGGGCGCGTGCGTGGCCTCCTTTTGAGAGGGCCATCGAGGATCGTCAGAAACCATCCTGCGAAAGAAAAAACAGCAAAAAAAACGCACGCATTCAGAAGCATGCACGGGGTACGGACGTCCGAGCGATGGCGGGGCCGTGCCGCTGCCCTCTCAGGCCTACGCCCGACGGCTGCCGCTGCCGTCAGGCGCTGCCGCTGCGCCGCCGCCGCTGCCGTCCTGGGCCTCTGCGCGTGCAAGAGAAATCACGACGGCGGGGGTCTCCGCGCAGTTCCTGGGGGGTGCTAAGGCTGCAAAGGGCGGCGCGTGAGCAGTTCTCTGCCTCCGTAAGCAACAAGGTTACGTCTGGCGGCGCGGTGCGCGGCCGCCGCCTGACGATTCGAAATTTCTTCACGCACTTTGCTGCACGTGCTGCTTGATGCCTCGAGCAGCGATTGCCCGAGGGGTTCCGCGGCGCACCTCGACTGGGGGGTCGCGTCCGACCAGCTTGCGAACCCGCGGGCCTGCCGGCGCCCCATTGCGCGCTGGCCGCGCTACGCCGCGCCACGCAGCGCGGCGCGCCGTGCTGCGCCGCGCGTCGTTCCTTGCCACGTCGAGCGTCACCCGACGCGTTGGCGACGGTGCCAACTCGCGAGTCCGCGGGCCGCGCCGCGCCTTGGCGCGCGCCTCGCCGCTCCGCCTCGCCGCGCCGCTCTCCCCGTCGCGCCACGCCGTTCCGCGCGGGCGACCGACCGCGCAAACTCGTGAATCTCCGGAGAGCAGCACACCGTCCCGCGCCGCGGCGAGCCGCGCCGTGCGCCGCTCCGCTCGCCGAGCTGCGAGTCGCCACCGCGCACCGCGAACTGTGACTCCATTTCTGAGCACGCGAAGAGGCCCGACACAGGCCTTGCATCTGCACAACACGTAAACCATATGCACACCATGTGTTAAATTAATGGTACACCATTTCTACACCACTTTGACGGTACTGTTACACCACTTCTGCGTAACTTTTGCATTACTTGCACACCGTTTTAACACCACAGTTACACCGCAGGTATACCACATGAACCCCAGCCCGCACCTCGCGCACGCCAGGGCCCCCCGGAGATCCGGCACGCGCCCCCAAGAATACGGCGGAGCCGCCTGGGATTAGGATTGCCATGAATCAATTCAGTTTTGGGGGACCCACAGGGATTGGAAACCGCACCCAGGAATACACCAGAGGGCACAAATTCAACAAGCCGGAACACATGTACACCATTGTTAGACCGTTGTCCATTGTTACAGCACCTCTGCATTGTTTAGCACAACTTTTACGCCGCTGGTAGACCACTTGTCACACCACATTTGCACCGCAATTCCATCACATTTACACCACATTTATATCACATGTACCACGTGCCACATACATGTGCAAAGCGTTCCTGTGCCCTCTCGTGGACTGAGCGTTTTTGCATTGGTGAGCTGCCGAATCGCTTGCGCGGGCCACGCGCGGTGCGCGTTCGTTTGACGTGCCAGTGGCCGTCAGGATCGCGACGGCCGTTTCTCCGCTCTTGCGCGGATCTCGCGAAGCATAGGTTCCCGTGCACGCGCGCGCCAGTTGCGTTTCTATCCGTTCCTCTACATGGGTATCCCCTAGATTCAGGGTTGCGCGCGCGTCAGGTTATCTAAGGCCGTGGAGCGGAACTTTGACAGCCTTGGTGATGATGGGACCCGTTGTCCCGACTTCTGCCGTCGCCCCCCCGCTCGGGCCCCGCCGACTGGGGCGATTATTCTGCAGCCGCGCACCGCCCTGGCATTTTTAGCCGGAGAGAACACGCAAAACGCATCGTTGCTTGTCGATGCCGCCGCGATTTTTTCATCGCGGCGCGCCGCGGCCGCGCTCGATCGCCGATGGCCGGCGATGAAAAAATGATTTCCATTAGTAGAATAGCCCTGCGGAGGTCAGCGGCCCTCACGCGCTTGCCCTGGGACTTAGGAACAGGCCCACTAGATTACCAGTGGCTGCTCTTTGCAGCCTTGATTGACATCTGGGGCCCCCGGGCCCTGGGTCCCAGTGGAAAAGCCCGGGAGGAGGAAGGGGTCCCATGGGAAAAGCCCGGGAGAAGGAAGGGCCCCCCAGGGGAAAAGCCCGAGACTGTTGCGGCCAGGCGCAGACGGGGGCAGGGCGAGCGGGGAAGGATTCTTTGAAGCACCCCTGCTTCTAAGAAGGGGCGGGCCTTGTCTATGGATGTAAGGCCGGGACCTTGTGGGAAGCAGCAACATTCTCGGAAGCAGATTCCCCCCTCCCCCATATTCCCCTCGTGCGCGCCGCCAGCCGCTGGGGGCCCACAGCGGTGGAGGTTTGGGGCCGCCGTCGCCGCTGCCGCGTCGACGGCGCGGGCGCCTGCGTCGTCGGCGCGACCGCCGCGCCGCCGCCGCCCACTGCTCTGGCGGCCTGGGATGGCGGCGGCCGGCCGTGGGGCTTCTGGGAGGCCCCGGCCCCTCGCCGGCACGGCCGGGCGCGGCCCGGAAAACGCGGACCGGGGTCCGCCACGGGACGGGAGCCTCTCGGGTTAAATCGGGCGTGTCCGTCTACAGGAGGAATAATTTAAGATCGTCAAACAAAAGTTCGGATACGATTGTTCTAATATATTTGTTCCGTCCAAAATCCGCCTGTAGGAGGACATGCCCGACATGATTCTCGGGCACGGTCACGTGCGGACTTGCTGGCCCAGGCCTCTGGCGATCCCAGGGCACCACCGCGGCCAGCCTTTCACCGTTCCGATTCTGGGCCGCTGGGGGGCCAGAGGCCGCCAGAAGGGTTGGTTGAACAGGGTTGGTTTTTCGGGTTGACCCAAAAGGATGTCCAGTGACAAGGGGGTGGTGCAATAGATTTGGTGCACTAGATTTGTAGGTTGGTGGGGTTGCAATACATTTGGGGCGCGGAATACGTTCCAGGGCGCAGATGTATTGCTGGACTTCCGCGCGCAGTGCAGCAGGTGCCATACAGTGCAAAATACAACTTTCAGGCGCAGTTCGTTTGCAATTCAACTGCCCTAGATCTAGTGCACCACCCCCTCTCAGCTGGTTCACCCCCTTGTGGGTCACCCAAAGTTCCGCTGGACTGGGGGCCCCCCCCCCAGCCCGACCTGAGGCCCCCCCCCCAGCTCGACCCGAGGCGGCCCAGCAGCCATCTCGAAACCACTCTGGGGCGTCCCGGCAGCCGTCGACGTTCTCGCCGTGCCCTTCGCGGCATTGCTGCCAATGTTTTTTCTCGATATATATATATATATATATATATATATATGTATGGTCGCCCCCCCCAAGATCATACCTTTTCGTCTCCTCATCCTCGACTGCTTCTTTTCCTTTTTGTTTCCTCTCTCTCTCTCTCTCTCTCTGCCTCTCTCTCTCTCTCTGTCTCTCTCTGCCTCTCTCTCTCTCTCTCTTTCTCTCTCTCTCTCTCTTTCTCTCGTTCTCTCTCTCTCTCTTTCTCTCTCTCTCTCTCTCTCTTTCTCTCTCTTTTTGTTTTCTCCCTCTCTCTCTCTCTCTACGCAATGCTTGGCGCCACCGATGCAAGGAAACGCTGTGTATGTTTGTTGTTTTTGGTTGTTTTGGTTTGCGAAGCCACGAAACACTGTATTTTCGTTTTTTGTTTGTTTTGTGTCTTTGGGTTTTGAGAGGCAGAGAGAGGGGTGCTGGGAGGGAGGCCGCGGCGGGCACGGGGGCTTGCAAACCACAAAAACCAAAAAGAAAAAAAACATAAAATAAAATAAAAACACAAAGTTTCGTTGTTTCGCAGACCAATGTGAAATATTATTGTTTTTTCCTCTGCTATCGTTCGGCTCGCCCGTTGCTGTCTGTGCTCAAGTCATATCAGGGGTTCATGCTCACCTGGGCCGACCTCTTAGGCCTCGCCCGCGACCTGCTGCCCGCGGCCTTTCACCTGCGGACGTCCCTGGCGGCGAGCACGTGCCCTGCGTGCCCCTCGCTGGAGTGCCCGCACGTGGTGCTGCCGGCGTGCCCCGGCTTGCAGTGCGGGGACTGCTCGTGCCCGGAGCCGGCCGGCCTGAGCGGGCTGGGGCCGCTCCTCTGGGCGGGCGCGGGCATCGCGCTCGCCAGCGCCTTGGCTGGGGGCTTCACGGGCTTCCTGCTGGGCGCGCTCGTCGGCGCCCCGTGGCGGCGCCCAGCCGAGGCGGCGAGGCCGCGCGCGGCGACGGCATCGGCGGCGGGGCCCGGCTTTTTCGAAGCTGGGGGGCGGCCTGCCGGTGCGGGGCCTACCACACCGGCGCAGCTGAGGGATGCCCACGCTTGACACACGGTGTGCGCAGGTGTTGGTTCATTACCCAGATGATCCGAATGGGCTGGTGTGGCATCATCGTGTGCTGTTGCATCGCATTAGCGGCGGACGGTGGGTGTGCCTCACTCCCGACTTGCAGCTGCAGATCCACGATCTCAACGACCAGAGGCACAAAGTGTTTTCGAGGAGGGCGGCCTTCCCGGCCAACGTGGCGGCCGCCTCGTACGTGTTCGACGACGACGCGGTCTCGGCCGCCCAGATGGAGGAGTTCAGGGGCCAGGCGAGGGTGCAGGCAGCGATCTTGGGGGACGGTGAGTTCGGCGACGTCGAGGTCCACAAGTGGGTCGTATACCAGGTCGACGACGAGCACTTCGGCAAGGAGGTCCCCGAGGAGGTGCTGGCGGACGCACAGAGGTTCGTCAGTCTCGGGAACCTCGGCGTCGTGGACTGGCTCGGTGCCAAGCGATTCGTGGAGCGAGTCAGGGACGACAAGGTCGACGACTGGAAGGAGAAGCGAGAGTCTTCGGAGGGCGACTCGAGGATCCTCGGCTTGCATCGGAAGAGGGGGAAGCGGAACTTGGCCCTCTCGGATGCGGTCGACCTCTTCACGGAGGAGACGTTCGACGACTGGCCTTTCCCGCCGCCTAGGGCGGCCAAGGAGTACCTGGAGTCGATACGCGACGGGCCTGGCTCGATGGTGGTGTACGAGAGCGAGTGGAGGCAGGACAGTGGTGTTGGCGACGGTACGGCGGCGCTTCACGAGCACCGCAACAACACCGAGGTCCTGCGGCTGGCCCACCAGGTGGACCAGCTCAACATACCCAACCTGGCGTGCTTCGAGCAGTTGGTGCGCAGGCAGATCCAAATCGAGATGGCGGTCGAGAGGAACGCGAAACATCCCGACTACGCCGGCCTGGACCTGGTCATGGGCGGCCCGACTACAGAGAGCGGTGCGGCGGCCAGCGCGGGCTTCCGCGGCTGGATCTACAAGAAGCAGGGAGAGCGTGCGCAGACCCTCAAGCAGTCTCGTCTTCTTCGGGAGGAGCGGCTCAATGAGGACAAGCGCTACAAGAGTGGCAAAGGTGGCGATGATCCCCCCCCGAAGAAGCCTCCAAAGAAGGGGGGGCCGAAGGGGGACGACAAGCAGGCGGGGAACTGACCCCAGTGGTCGGTTCCCTTTTGGCTGGGGCGGCTCTTCAGCATGTCCGTCCCCGCCGACAGTTTTGATCGTGGAGGCGCTGGCGTTCGGCGGCGACTCTGCAGCCAGAGGCGACATGGCGAGATCTTCCCGCTTCCGTCGCCGGCAGCTCCGAGCTTGGCTTCTCCTGGCGCTCCTCGATATGTTCAGCAGCGTCGGCGTGAGCAGCTCCATCGGCATCAGCGAGAGTGTGAAGCGGTTAGATCACTCAACCAGCTCGCTGCCGCAACTACTTCTTTCTCGAGCGTCTCAAGTACGCGACGATTCGGAGGTGAGCGGGGGACGCCCTTGCAATGCGACGTCCTGCAGCACGTCGCTCGGCGCGTCAAGGCGCACGGCCCGCCGCCTCGAGACCTGGACGAGGACGGAGCCCTCGCGGAGCTCCTTGCGTCCAGGGACCTGTACTCGCAGGAGCCGAAGAACCTCGCTGAGTACGACATCTCGAAGCTCAAGATCTGCCGCTCGGGCACCGTGGCGAAGGACGCAAAGACGCTCTTGCCGCCCGAGACGGCGGGCCTCATCAAGCACTATAAGCATTGCGTGGAGCGCGATGCAGAGCAGATACTGGAAGCTCAGGTGGCCCAGGACTTTCCCAGGCCGTATTGGGACCCGAAGCTGGCGCGGGACCACGACAGCCTCTTTGAGCTCGTGGGCCGCCTCAGGGACGCCAACCTCATCGGCTTCCGCAAGAAGCTCAAGGCGAAGGTCGGCATCTTTTTCGTCAAGAAGAAGGACCCCGCGTGGATCAGGCTCATCATTGACGCCCGACAGGCGAACCGCTGCCACAAGACGCCACCGAAGACACGGCTGGGTTCGGTCGGCGGCTTCTGCGAGCTGGACCTCTCGGACACCGCGTTGCGGGACCTCGGGGGCTTCGGCGGCATCGCGGAGATCTGGGGCGGCACCAGCGACGTCGACGACTGCTTCTACCAGATGCTGGTCGAGGAGCTGGGGTCCTGGTTCGGGATCGACCTCCCGCGGGCCGCGGGCGCCTGGGGAGTTGCCCAGGTCTATGACGATGATCTGGGTCGACGCGTGGCGGTCGAGCCTTCTGAGGTGGTCTACCCTGTCTTCCACGGCATGGCCATGGGGTGGGCGTGGGCGTTGCACTTCGCGAACGAGGCCGTCTCCTACCTGGCCTCCAAGAGCGCAGTGTGCCCTCGCTCGCTGGTACGCGAGCGGACGCCGGCCCCAGTGCTGCGGGCGGGGCAGGCCGTGTCGGGCGTGTACGTGGACAACTTCACCACGCTCGCCGGCGACCGCGAGACCGCGCTCGACTCGGTCCAGAGGTTCAGGCGCGCGGCGGAGGAGGCGCACATCGGCACCCACGTCGACTCCGAGGTCGGCGTGGTCTTCGAGAGCCTCGGAGTGGTCTTCGACGGGAAGCGGAGGTGCCTGCGCCACGTGCCGCGACGCGCTTGGCGCGTCTACCTGGCCACTCGCGCCCTTCGGCGACGCCGCTGGATCCACGGCAACGTCATGGAGATCTGGCTGGGGCACGTCGTCAACCTGTTCAGTCTGTCTCGGCCGGCTTTGGCGTGCTTACAGGCGGTCTACCCCTTCGTCGCGGCGGCGCGCGGGAGGCGCGTCCGCCTCACGCCGGCCATCAAGAATGAGATGCGGCTCGTGCAGGGGCTGCTGTTTCTGTCCGAGTACGACCTGGGGGCCGACTTCAGCCACGAGGTCTACTGCTCCGACTCCTCGAGCTTTGGGTACGCTTTGCTGTCGACCACTGCGACGAGCTCGGAGCTTCGTGACCTCACCCGCTATCGTGAGAGATGGCGGTTCAAGCTCGTCGACACGCTGCCCGAGGTCGGGCTGCTTCGTCCAGAGTGGGTCGAGTACGCGGGGGGCCGCCTCGCGCCTGGAGGGTCGTGGGAGTTTCCTGAGGGTGCCTATGCTGACGTTGCTGTGCGAGGGTCTCGACCCTGTGCCATCGGCCCGCAGACGCAGTATGGGCGCTCGCTGGAGGCAGCTGCCCAGGAGCGGCCTTTTTCCCGGCCTCGAGTCGGGCGCCGCTCACGGGATCCGCGGCCGCGGCCCAGGCAGGAGGAGGTCGAGGTCCCGAGCGCCGTGCCCCCGATCGACCGCTGCTGGGATGATGTCCGAAGGTGGAGGCACCTTCGAGTCGGGCGCTGGCGCTGGACAGAGGAGCACATCAATGTCAAGGAAGGCCGCGTGTCCCTCTTCGGCCTTCGCCGAGCGACGCGCAGCCGCCACAACCACGGGAAGCGGGTCGCCTCTATCGGGGACAACCTGGTCTCGATCTGTGCCTTCGAGAAGGGCCGCGCGAAGTCGTGGGCCCTCAATGCGCTGGCGAGGCGGGCGGCTAGTTACCAGATCGCTGCTCGGATCCGCTGGCACTCACGGCACGTTGAGAGCAAGCGCAATGTCGCCGATGCCGGTTCGCGCCTGCACGAGACTGGGGGAGGGTCGACTGTCGGCCCAGTCGGAGTTTCAGAAGATACCACATCATGTACCACGCGTTCCGACACTCCCCCAGCCTCTCCTTTGGTCCCTCGGCTCGGCGGTGGACGACACCTCCGAGCGCCTTTTCCAGTACAGGAGACCGTGGCTCTCGAGCTCTTTGCCGGCGAAGCGGGCCTCACTTGTGCTCTCCGGTCCCGCGGGCTGCGGGTCGGGCCGCCGTTCGAACTGGAGCGTGGTGCGAGGTTCGACCTCACCAGGAAAAGCACTCAGAGCCTCATCAAGTCCTGGATCCTCTCGGGCCTCATATGGTATATCCACTTGGGTACCCCATGTACGGTCTGGTCAGTGGCGAGGCGAGGGGTGTCTAATCTTGGGAAGGCTTACGCTAAGGAGGCGGTGGCGGTGGAGCTGGCTCTCTTCACCTCGGAGATCTGCGTCTTGGCATCTAGATGCGGGGTCCTCTGGAGCCTGGAGAACCCCTCGTCGTCAGGTCTCTGGGAGTTCAAGCCCGTCGTGGACCTCATGGGGCTCCCCGAGGTCTTCAAGGTCTCCTTCCACATGTGCCAGTATGAGGTCCTGCACAAGAAGCCCACCACAGTGCTCACCAATGTCCAGGCCCTGCGTGGGCTTGAAGCTAAGTGTTCTGGGGGACATGTGCATCGCGTCCTTGAAGGGCAGGAGCGAGTCTTGGGAGCAGATGGAGTCTGGCGGTCACAGTGTAAAACAAAGACAGCGGGAGCCTATCCGTCATCATTGTGCTCGAGATGGGCCTCTCTCATTTTTCAGATTGCACCAGCCGCTGCGCGCGGCTCACAGCCAAGTTTTGTCAACCAGTGGGATGAAGATCTTGCCTCGCTTGTCGGACGGCGACGTGATACAGCCGTCCAGGGAGCGCCTCCGCGGAGTGGTGAAGGGAGCGATTCTGAAGTCCCCGCCCGAGCGACGGACTACATCCGCGACCACAGGCTACGGTTTGGCCGCCACCGCCCGCTCTGGGCCGCGGAGGCAGAAGGCACTGAGGAGGCAGGCGGTGGCCGCTAGAGCTGCTGCGCCTCCTGATCGCTTCCTCCAGGAGAGCACGGCTGGCGACAAGGCGAAGGACATCTACCGCCGCGAGCTGGAGAAGTTCTACGACTGGGCCGAGCAGCAGACCCGCCCCGTCGGATCCCTCTCGCTGGCGACGACGATGAAGGAGTATTTCTTCAGCAAGTTCCAGGAGGGCTATGGGCCGAGCGTCGGTCGCGCCGTCTTCTTCGGGTACCTGTTGCTGAAGTCCAACAACTACAAGCAGGAGCGGGAGCGCCTCAGCGACGTCGAGAGGGCGATCGCCGGCTGGGCCAAGCGGTCCCGCGAGGTGGTGAAGGACCCTGCGCCCCAGGAGGTGCTGCTGGACATGGGCGCGTGGATGCTGGACAACGGCCGCGGTGAGAGCGCGGCGTGCTTGGCCCTTCAGCTGGACGACTACGGGCGCCCGTCCGAGAGCGTCGAGCTGATGGTAGGCAACATGCTGCCGCCTGTCCCAGGTGTCCGCGGCACGGCTTCGCGGGACTGGGGCGTCGTCTTCGCCCCCGCTGAGCTTGGCTTCGTCACCAAGACCGGCCAGGTCGACGACTCCGTGGTGCTGGGCAGTCCTTCGCGGCCGTGGGCTCCGAAGGTGGCTGCCGCGCTGGTTCAGCGCGCGGCGCAGGCATCCGGCGGCCGCAGCAGGCCAGCAGATCCTCGTGCTCCTCTGTTTCGCAGCTTGACCTTGGCGAAGTACGAGCACGACTTCAAGGCAGCGTCGAAGGCCCTCGACTATACCAAGCTCAACGTGACGCCTCACACCGTCAGGCACACCGCCCCGTCCCACGACATCTACCACAAGCATCGGAACCTTGAGCAGGTGCGCCGGCGCGGCCGTTGGGCGGCCAAGAAGAGTGTGACCAGGTACGAGCGCCACGCCAAATTGTTGAAGCAGTACAACAAACTCGACCGCGTCCAGATCTCGAGGATGAACCGCTCAGCCCAGTCGTTTCCAGACAAGTTGCTGAGCTACCTGAAGAGGCGCTGAAGCGTTCTATCTACCCGCCCACGTACCACCCTTTCATCGTGTCCTTGACCCAGAGTACCCATATGGGCGACTGTATGGGAGTGCCGAGCTCGGTGGCAAAGAGTACTAATCCATTCGTGACAAGGAGCTCTTTGGACGGAACAGTGCGGTTGTTCAGATGACCATCGTGAAAATGAGTGCAAAGCTGATGCCAACCTAAGTTATTTATAGCCTTTCGGCTGTCTCCGTCGGCCTGGTAGTGGGTTGGCTCTCTGAGAGGTTCTGGGCGTGCGCTTAGATCTTAGAGGAATGTGAAATATTATTGTTTTTTCCTCTGCTATCGTTCGGCTCGCCCGTTGCTGTCTGTGCTCAAGTCACCCGCCCGCGTACCACCCTTTATAGAGGGGAGTGCCGAGCTCGGTGGCAAAGAGTACTAATCCATTCGTGACAAGGAGCTCTTTGGACGGAACAGTGCGGTTGTTCAGATGACCATCGTGAAAATGAGTGCAAAGCTGATGCCAACCTAAGTTATTTATAGCCTTTCGGCTGTCTCCGTCGGCCTGGTAGTGGGTTGGCTCTCTGAGAGGTTCTGGGCGTGCGCTTAGATCTTAGAGGAAAAAAAAGTTTCCGTGCATCGGTGGCGCCAAACACGGTGCACGCGCGCGTTCTGTCCTGATTCGGGAGGCACAGAGACAGGTGCTGGGGGGGGGAGGCGGCAGGGGAGCAACGAGCTCTCTCCCCAAGCTGAGCTTGAAAATAACCTACTACTCAACTCCCTCCGTCTCCAACACACCACCAGATACTCAACCGGCTCCCTCCCCTAGCTGAACTCGAAAATGATATTCTACTCAGCTCCTTCCGTCTCCAGCACACCATCCAGTACTCAACACCCTCCGTCTCCAACACGCCAACCGATACTCAACAGGCTCCCTCCCCAAGCTGAACTTGAAAATTATCCCAGAGGAGCCCCGAGGAGTTGAAACCCCGAGGAGAGCAATATTAGTAGTAACGGTAAACGCCGTCCTCCTCCTTCTCATCGTCGCAATTGTAGCAGTAGCGGTAATAGTAGTAGTAGTAGTAGTAGTAGTAGTAGTAGTACTAGTACTAGTACTAGTACTAGTACTAGTACTAGTACTAGTACTAGTAGTAGTAGTCGTAGTAGTAGTAGTAGTAGTCGTAGTAGTAGTAGTAGTAGTAGTAGTAGTGAAAGTAGTAGTAGTAGTAGTAGTAGTCGTAGTCGTAGTAGTAGTAGTAGTAGTAGCAGTAGTAGTATTGGTAGCAGTAGTAGGTGTAGTAGTCGTAGTCGTAGTAGTAGTAGTAGTAGTAGTTGTAGTAGTAGTAGTAGTCGTAGTAGTAGTAGTAGTAGTAGTAGTCGTAGTAGTAGTCGTAGTAGTGGTGGTGGTAGTAGTAGTAGTAGTAGGAGTAGTAGTAGTAGTAGTAGTAGTAGCAGCAATGCTATGCTATGCTGTGCTATGCTCTGAGATGCTGCGCTATGCCATGGTATGCTATGACATGCGATGCGATGCTGCGCTGTGCTATGCTAAGCTAAGCTATGATATGCTATGCTGCGCTATGCTATGATATGCTATGATATGCTGCGCTATGCTATGATATGCTGCGCTATGCTATGCTATGCTATGCTAATGCTGCGCTAAGCTAAGCTGAGCTAAGACGAGATGCATGATCTTTGGGGGGAACCTATATATATATATATGTATTAAAATATTTGTAAAAACTGTGGAAATAATAATATATATATATATACAGATGTATATATATATACACACATATATATATATACATATATACATATACATATATACATATATATATATATATATATATATATATATATATAACACACAACAAACACACAAACAAACAAACAAACAAAACGCCGCTCACACCGGGGGCCGGCTGGGCCCTGGGGGCCCTGGGAAGGTCGCGGCGCCGGATCTCAGAGGTTCTCGGCTGCTTCTCACCCTGGACGGGTACGTCCGTGAGCCTCGCGAAGGCCTCGCGAATGGTATCCCACGCCCCCCCCCGTGGTCGTGGCCCCTTGAACGTGGCGTGGTGGAGGGTCGTCATCCTCGGCCTCGGCCTCGGCCTCGTCCTCCTCCTCGTCGCCGTGCCACTTAGCGGCGTTATCTAATCGGCCTCAACCACTCAGGGCCTTTTAACCGACAGAACCTGGGTTCGGCCGTTCACTTCTACCCCCCCCATCCAAATACTTAGCGGTCCCTGCGGCGATGCAAGTACCCCCTTCGGTGGAGGGCCCGAGGGGCCCCAGGAGGCCTCTGGCGGCGAGGAGCGGGCCCCGCGCAGGGGGCCGCCGGGGAGGGCGCCGCAGAGGCTGGGCCGCGAGGGAGCGTCGGAGGCCTGGGCGCCCTGTCCCTCCACAGTCAGGAGGCGAAAAAACGCACAGACACAATTAGTCGTCGATTCCCAGAAAATATTGGAAAATATTGCAAGTGGGGGCGAAGACGGAAACCCAGACAATATGGGAAAATATGGGGATGTTTTTTATTTATGTGTATTTATGTGTGTGTCCCAGGGCCCCTTCACACAGGGGGGATTTTCAAAAATAGTTGTTTTAAACTCAAAAAAAAACAAAAGCAAAAAAAAAAGTAGTCGGGGGTGATGTTTTGACTAGTTTTGCAAATTCGGGGGGTCGTTTTTTTGTATTCTTTCGTTTTCGTCCACAATCCCCCTGCAGGGGGACAGGCCCGACGTAAGTCTACGGTGGGTTCGCGTCGTGTCGACCGGCAGCGACCCCGCCGCAGGCGTTCAAGGTTGAACGCCGCCAGTGGCCCAGAATCGGCCCAATATGGAACGATCGGGCGATCGGCAAGCCGCGGATTGTTCAGGGTTGAACGATCCACGCGGTGTGAGAAACCAGCGCCGAGGTCATCACGGCACGAACCCGCCGCACAGTGGAGACCCATGCCAGGAACAGGGGCACGAGCAATGGCACAAACATTCAATCTCGGCGCTGGACCCCCTCTGGCGGCGCCTCCGGCGCCTCCCCTAAGACCTGGAGCGCTCCGCGCGCCAGGGAGGGGGTTCAGCGCCGATCCACCAAATCCGCGCGGACCTCCGAGTTTGTATGTTTATGCCATGTTTCGCTCCCTTAGAACACCCTGTTGGCGTCCAGGGTGCCCTGGGATTTCTTGGGCTTCGATGGTTTCGCCACGGACAGAGCGACGCTCCCGGACCCAAGCTTTTGGATCATTGAACGTCCTGGGGTCTGAGGCTTGGGTTTCATATGGAAACTTTCTTGTGGTCGAGTAGGGGACGACACGCGAACCCTACCCCTACCCCACGATTTCTGAGGGGGAGGGTGGGGTTCACTTCGTCTTGGAGCTCCCGAGCGAAGTGAAACCCACCCTCCCCCTCAGAAATCGTGGGGGTAGGGGTAGGGTTCGCGTCAAGCTAGCCAGCTCGAGCGAGTCAAGCATGGCATGCCTATTCCCACCCGCCCTCCTACAACATAAGAAACAGTGATGGCACAACTGGAGGCTGCGCGGGCATTTCAGTGTCGCAGGTCCCAGAGCGCTGACTTCCAGGTCCCAGAGCGCCCCAGGAACGCCCCAAGAGAGCCGAGACGCCCCCGAGACGATCCGAGGGGCCTTGAGTCGCCGAAAGATCGTTCCAAGACGCCCAAGATGGCCTCCAGACGGCCGCAGACGCCGCCAAGAAACCGCGGGGAGCCTCAGGAGGCCCTCCAAGAGCCTGGACAAGCAAAAACCTCCCATGCATTCGTCACCCCAGGGCCTCCTGGAACGCCCCTGCGCCCAATGAATTGGCGAGCTAAAAACGTGCGCCGAGCCAAAGCGGGAGCGCAACTTTGAGAAAATTTCGCTCTGCGCCCAAGCGGGAAGGTCATTTCATTCACTTCGAGCGGGGAGGGGGTGCCGCGCCCAATTCTTGCCATGCACTTTTGCGGGGTGGGCGACAAGAACAGTTCTGTGGGAAGGGAAAATCAGCATGGCATTGCTTCTGACAAGTAAGGTGGCCCCTCCCGCCTTGGGGTTGCCCCAGAAGTCCGCGCGCGATGTGCGCCGCGCCCCATTCCTGCCACGCATATCACATCGCTGACGACAAGATAGGCCATGATGAAAGGAAAAACGGTAATTGTGCATTTTTTCAACAGTCAGGATGGGAGGGCCCGCGGCCCGCATGGACGTCCGCGCGCGATGCGCGCCGCGTCCCATTCCGGCCACATACTTCGCACCGTCGGCGACAAGGCAGGGCATGTTGAGGGGGAAAAACTCTTTTTCTATATATATATATTTAACATATAATACATACATATATATATATATATATATATATATATATATATATATATTTAATATATATATGTATATGTATATATATATATACTACAGTCAGGAAGGGCGGGCCCAGATTGACGGCCGCGCGCGATGTGCGCCGCGTCCCATATGTGCGCCGCGTCCCACTGCTGCCACATATTTCGCACCGTCGGCGACAAGGCAGGGCATGCTGAGAGGAACAAGCGAAGACTTTGTATCGATTTTTATAATCAGGATGGGCGGGCCCAGAGGGACAGGCGCGCGCGATGCGCGCCGCGTCCCATTCCTTCCACGTTTTTCGCATCGTCGACGACAAGAAAGACAATGTTGAGAAGAAAAACGCCGACTTTGTATTGATTTCTTACACTCCGGATGGGAGGTCCCGGAGCGGCGGATTAAAATGGGACCTCGCCATCTTTGGGGGGCTGCGATCTGCGAAACTGTCGCCACTTTCGAGGGCTGCTGGGGGGCCCAGCGCAGTGTGTACCCGCGGCGGATTCAAATGGGACCTCGCCATCCCTGGGGGGCTGCGATCTGTGAAACTGTCGCCACTTTCGAGGGCTGCTGGGGAGCCCACCGCAGTTGGTACACACGGCGATCTCAAAAGGAACCTCGCCATCCTTGGGGGGCTGCGATTTGTGAAACACTGTCGCCACTTTCGCGGCCTGCTGGGGGGCCCAGCACAGTGGGTACCCACGGCGGACT